TAAAGGAGTGCCATCCTCGGAGCCGAGAAAGACAGGACAGAGGAAACGACGACTCGAACTTCACCTCGTAAGGCCGCTACCGTACCAGGATCAGACCTTTGTGAGCCCAGAGGGATCGCCGCTGCCTGCTGCAGACTGTCCCCGCTTCGCTATAGCTTTTTGGTGAGTCCGTTCTAAAGTGAACGAGAAAATTTCTTTGGCGATTTCGCGTCGCGGAGCGGACGAGGCATCGACGAGCGAGGACCCGGCTGTCCTCCTGGGCGAAGACGAGGGCTTGCGTCCCTCTCACGCGTTGGGAAAAAGCTCCGGGTATCACTTAAATCAATTAAAACTGCCGAAAATCCGCCATGCTGTACTGACGAGCTGGTACACGACCGAGAGCTTACGTGGCTGTCGTGACTTCCGCCGGTCACGACTTGTATACGCCCTGCCGAATACCCGTATTGCGACCGCGAGCAAGGATTCATCGTATTGTCTAATCATATCACTGCCGAGATATTAACACATTGTAACCGTTACCGAACAATAAACGTTGTCCGAGAATATCCCTGGTTGCTTAATTTTGATAATCGCCGCCCAATCCTCTCACCTCCGATCTATCGCGAATCAGCCCCTCTACCGCGAGTAGGACTGAGCTGCCGATCGTTTGTGCTAGCCGGTCGGGCGGAGGACGAGTTCCACTCGTCGGTGAGACTAATTATTCGTGCTTCGTGATATATTTCTTTTAGTGGGTACGGACCACCGTACCGGGCGCCCAATTGGTTTTTTTTTTGAGCTGTCGGGTCTCGCTAAATCTGCCGAGCGGTTTAACATTATAATTACATTTTGTTCTGCACCCGATTCGTGTGCCGACTGCTCGAATCGTGCAACGTTACAAATTTTGGCGCCCAAAGTGAGGCCTACTTCAGTCAATAATTACTGGAGTCGGGAAGACCTTTATTTTGTCGGAGGTGAAATCGGCATTTAAGAATCCTTGTTCGATTCGCGCTGGGAATCGGTTGCGATTTAAATTTTGATTATCGAAATACCGAAAATGTTGAGATTAGCTATCGAGACATAGGGGTGCGTTCGAGAACGTCACTCTAGTTGAAATCTTGTCGAAATGGAGTGGGGGCATAGTGCGTCGCCTGTGTGTCTTAGTTCTCGAACGATATAGTGTGAAAATATTAACCTTGTTGCACTCCCTG